CACTGAAATTGTTAAGTCTAAGTTTGCGGTCGGGGAAAGCTCATCGTTCCGGAAGCACGGGGAGTCGTTTAAAGCGCGGAACACCCATGCCTCATTCACTATGTACTCAAATAGCTGTATACCTCAGGGCTGCCGGTGGTCTTACTGCCCTCTCCCTCATGCCTGACTAAGCATTCCAGCAAACCTGACTAGTAATGAGTTATTCCGGCATAGGGCTCTTTAGTTCACCCATAAAAGTTATGGACTAGAAGTAATGAATGACTTTGCATGTTTATTCGCCCAATAGAGGCCATTTCCCGTCATAACCAACCGGGCAGTTTGGTATCTTACAAGCGGAACGCCTGAACTGGATTTTTTAGTATTTCAACGCACCTTGTTTGGACCACAAAAAGACGGTTAGGGCAGAGCTTTCTTGCTGTTGTCAGCCGTCAAGAAACAGCCTGGGGAACTGCATTAGAATGATGGTCGTACTGAGCAACTGGCTGGAGATGACGATGGAAACAGTCTTGAATTGACCTTCAAATAATCTTTCTGAAAAACGGTTCCAGTCCCCGGATTTAGGAGTTTGTTTTTTTATCCGTGCAGTGCTCTCTAAAGTGCCCTAATCTGTGCACAGCCCTTTGGGGAACACCGTCAGGGGGTAGAAGTAATGTAAAAGCTACAGTTTGATGGTTCATGAAACAACAGAAGCTATAGTAAGTTCTTGAAGTCATGCTTGCATATACTAATTAAGGACATCACGTGTGCACCACAAGATGCACTGGTTTCGTGACTCGTAGGCTGTGTTATTTTATCCAGCGCTAATGTTGAACACGACCACACCACCGACAGGGTGGCGCCGCTCTTGCGACCCGCGCGTTAATTCAACAGCGATGAGACAGACTGGCGCGGGGTCTAGTGCACTCTCCCCCTCCCCCTCCCCCACACAGAGAACCTTTCGATAACAAAGTCATAGTGGTCGAAAATGGACGCGCCATTTAAAATGATAACTCATCCTCCAGCCATTCCTCGGTCGCACTGACTTGGACTGAATGATTACTCAGTTCACCCTCATGTTAGCCCGGTTAATTGTACAGACACAGTGCTTACTCTAAGAGGGCGTACCCGTGAGGTAAACTACTTCAACTGGTGGGAATCACCAGGGCGAAGCTGTACCCACATATGGGAAAATCCTAATAGCTTCTGTCTAAGGAGGGAACCAGTCAGTTGGATATTCCTGTTCTTCGGTCAATTACCCAGCCTCTCCGCCCATGCGTCGCTTCCCTGCTCCCCTAATTCCAGCTCTTTTAGCATTTTCTACTTACTGGTTTGCTGACAGGGTTTCCGGAGTACCAGATCACGTGTTTTACTAACAGTTATCTTGGAGTTTTTCTTTATGTGTGCGCGTGTGCGTACAAACAAAACGGAAATGAGCCCAGTTGGGTCATTTTGGTGCAGACAAGTTTGCGCAAACGTGTCTTTTCGTGGGAGACGAATTAGGCGTGCTCCGCTGACGTCAGGGTGGAATGAAAGACCGTCCGTTTAACTTTGGAAACGGTCATTATCCTTTGCATGTCATACGTTTCTGTAAATTCAACCCAGTATCAGTTTCTAATATGGTTCGCGCAGCACCCGAACATCGGCTTATTGACCGAAACGTCACAGATTTTAAAATCATTACTGCATACACATTAGTAAACTGAAAACACGTGTATATTAATGGACTAAAATTACGACTCGTTTGGCCAAGTACTCCCAGCGATACGCAATGTCGAGTCTGGAGTGCAGATCAGGCTCAGTCGGCCAGCTTCATTGTGTTTTGCCTAGAAGTCTGAGTCGCAAGTCAGTGCACAGTCGGAAAGTTGGAAAATTTAGAACAATTTCTCAAAGAGTATCCACAAGCAACCTTTCTTAGGGTTTTCTTTTTAAATACGCTGGTCTGAAGCCCAAATGTTTTTTTGAGAGGGGATAGTTGTGAAAATTCCCGGATTAAATAGGAAAGTGGGCAAGTTAGGATGCATTTGAGGTCTTAAGTCATCATTCGTTCCTCATCCTGAACCGTTTTTATGATTGGCAGTTCCTCATTTCTAGTATCCCTGTATCGGCTATCGTCTATTCGTTTTGTAGACCGGAAGCAATAAATCAGTCAGAAGCAGACTCGTCTGAATTGCGTTGTTAAACCTCCTTCTCACTCATTACGACAGTCCACAAATTGACCATAGTTTCAGTGCAAATTTGTCTCTTTTTGTAAAGGATAAAATGTGTTTGCATTAACATTAATCATCAGTGCAATCGCTTACCGAAAAGAAACCCAGATATCTTAACGACAAAAATCAGCATGATGCTGACTAGAAGACGCAGAGTAAACAGCCAATCTAGTCTGTTTTCATTCAGTTTTGGTCCGCACCGTTCTCATTGTAAGTGCGCACCGTTACACTCCGACAATTAGCCACGAAAATATATGGCACCGGAGGTATGAGGTCTGTATCCGAAGCGACAACCCATCGCGGTGCCTTAAAAACCAATGGACTTGTAGGCGACCGCTGAGCGGTAAAGTATGCCGTGTTGTTGCCTACGCCAAAATAACAAAGCTACTTCTTCACAGAATACGAAAAGTTCATCTAACTCGCTTTTTTTAGCGTGCATCGCGCCTGACTTTATGGCCAAGGCTTTGGCACGCCAATGCTTGTCCAGCCTGCTTGGCCGACCGCTGCCATTGAAGGGATCGGCGAAACAAAATAGACGAGGCTTATATTTTGCTATAAGCACACACTAATTCACGTTCTGTCTGTTGTAACCCAGGCAATTATTATTCTTGCTTGGGATGACGGATAAAATAGGGGCACTTCACCTCATCAGGTTATAACTGTAATTGCCGTGGTTTTGGGGCAAAGCCAGCTGTGTAAGGTTTTCGGAACGCATCAACTCCTTCATGAATGTGACTACCCGAGCACGAGCTATGTTGATTGCGTTTATAACGTTACTAGCAGCATGAGTACATCATCGTTTTTAAACGCACACGA